CAAATGTATTTTCTCTTCCATTAGTATTAGGTAAACCTGGAAGTTTTTTTTTCTAATTTTTTTTTTCTTCTAGTATAACGACAACTTCTACATTTAGGTAATTCATTTTTCTTATCAAATTACATTAACACCAACATACTTGTCATTAACTTTAACAGAACTCTTTATTTAGTTAACACATTTGTTATTTTTTCCATAATAATAACTAGAATAAAATCACAAGTAATATTTATGGATTTTTTGTTGCAATATTAAGAGAGTATAATTTAATTCTCTCATAGACTATTAGTTTGCCTTTACTTCTATTTATGCAATAAACTACTGACTTTGCTGTTTCTTCTTTTCTGCCAATTGTTGAAACTTTTGAAATTGGTTTTAATCTTTGTGCCTAATTTTGGAAAGTGTTTCGGTTTTTAGGCGAAGAAGGTAAAGGTTTATCAAATGAATAATTTAACTAATTAATTTGCTCTCTTACTCTGTTTCCAATTTAGTATCTTCCAGATTTTTTGAATTTTCTGCTAATTTTTGTTTAATTTATCATTTTCTGCTTTTATATTTTAGTGTTTCGTTTTCATAAAGAGCATCTTCTAATCTACTAAAACAAGTTCTAATTTTTCCTTTTTATTTTCTAACTCCATAAACAAATTTCTTCTTTTTTCTTCCAACTCTTAAATAATTTATCCTGCTTTATTTTTGTTAAATCTGGTAATTGTTACTCAGAATGGTCTTTTCAGCTTCCTCATGTTCTATTTCTACTCTCTCTTGTTATCCTATTTCTCTGGTTTAATATTAACTTTTAATCTTCAACTGTCTTTTCCATTTGTTTACCTTAGCAACTTTTTTATTAGCAATGACAGTTAACTCATTTTAACCAATGATTAATTTATTCAAAAAAAGATGTATTATATATTATAATAGTTATAACAACTTAATATTAATAGTATTGAATTTCATCCTTCATATTAATAGATTATTATCATGGCCTTTGTCTAAGATTTCTTTTAGAGCTGAATTATCCTCTATTTTGTCTTCTCTTACTCACTTTTGAAATAATTTTTTACTTTTTTGCAGAATTTAATTTGATGAGGTTAATAAAGATATCTCTTTAGTATTAGGCCTATCCCTTACTATTACCCAAAAAGTTTAATCGTTTGTTTATAATAAGAATAATAATTATAATTACATTTCCACGAGCTGCTTCAGTAGAATACACCTTGTGAAAACTAGCTCAATCTCTTGGTTGCAATGAGCTACTTTCATAATTTTCACTAACTCCATCTACATCTGGATAAAACAGTAGCTATTCATGCTTTAATTTCTTCATTATTCAACTGTCTAAATTGTAAGGCTGCTTTAATTGTCCAATTTCTTCTAATATTGTTTGTTTCTCTTTTCGAGTTTTGGTATTACGTTTACCATACTTCCTTTTATTTTATTTTTTTCCCTTAGTATGCCTATATACTTTTTATGAGGGCATATTAAGTATAATCTTTTTGTTCAAATTTAAAAAAATTGAAGCAAAAAAGCTAACAGTATTTGTTGAATTCAGACGGAAAACTTAATGACAATTCATATTAATGGGCATTGAAATATTTAGTCTAAATTGCCAAATTGATATAGGTTAGTCGTGGACAAGTAATATCCTTGAATTAGTATTAGTCTCTGACAAATGAGCGGATATTATGGCAAAGATATTCTTGTCTTTTGTAATTCAAAAGAGGCGGAATTAGTATTAGGATGAAAAACATTTTAGTTACTTTGGTAATCTCGGAAACACATGCTTTTCTGGTTTTCAATAAATTAAATTCGGTAAAGGAACTATTAGCAACCAGCTGAGCTTTAATAATCTCAGGATTAGCTGCTTCAAAAAAAAACGCTGCACTTTTGCAAACCATTTAATTTCTTAAAGAAATTTCCCAATACGGAATTAAGATCTGAAAGCCTTTTTCCCTTGTCATAATGCTGAATTTTCCTCAGCAATATGACCCACGCAATCTACCGTCGTTTTTCGATAAAGCTTTTTAATTAATCCAAAACTACTTGAATTTAGTATGTCTGGTACCATAAAGTTTAATTTGATACTTTTATAATAGCCGCAAATTACTAAATATAAGTAAAATCAAATAGTAGCATTATTTTCATTCTGTCCACCCGATTATCGGAAGTGATCTTTAAATATTTTTCGCTTTATCCAATCTTTTAATTCCATCGAATACCAGGCTCAAGGTGCCATTAAGGCCATTGCCGTCGTCTTCGTCGAGAACGTAATTAATTACATCACGGTTCATGGTCACGCAGGAACTACTGCATAATGTGAAACCAACCAATAAAGCTGTATTAGTAAATCATGTGATAAAAGTAATGCACAGCATTAACGAAGATGGCTTTATAATGAAGCTTTCTATGGAACCAATTCATTCATATTTGTTTAGCGCCTTAAAACCTGTATAACGATGTGACGAACAAATCCGAGAAAAAGAAGCAGTTCATGCAAATTCCTGGAGAAAAGACAGCGACCAATTCCACCTGTTTCAATTTCTCTCTTTATTTCATCAACAAAAAAGAAAGTGTTAATTATATTACTATTGGAAGGGGAGAGAAGTATTAGTGCCAGGAAGTTCATGAAGAGGCACAGGCACAGGTTCAAATTTCACTAATAAAATAAACCATTCAGTAACGAAGATTTCCAAAATTAGTATTAGCGTGATGAACTAATACCGAATTTTGGGCATTACTGTACAGTATATATTGCATATAGAGATTGAACAACAAATGTCTCCAATTTCGCCCATTCAAAGTCGCAAATAATTGTGAGAAAACACCATTCGAGAGACATGGAATCTTCCGAAAGACGTCCTTGTGTTAATGTTTCGGACCAAGAAAGTACGTACAAATTTTGCAATTGCTATGAAGAAGAAATATGTCAAAAAAAAAGCCCGCATTTGAAAAATGCAAGACTAAAGTGTCGACATTCAATTATATAATCAGCTAAAGCGACTGCGTAAACAAACTATTGGGGAAATTTTGTTAACTTTGAAAATTGTTAGGTGGTAAGACGATGCAGAGAATTAAATTATATAACAACGTTTATGTAATCTTGTATAAAATTCGTTATAGAGATAGAAGTCCTCTTTAACGAAGTTCTTTGACGGATCGATAAAGCAGACTTTATTGTTACGATATTAACAATGTTTAATTGTAATTAGCTTTTCACGTAATAACAATAGTTGCTGGTCTGTCGCATTATATTGACTTTTTTTTTTTGTTGAATCAAAAATGCTATGCATGAATAAAAACTGCTTGTTCCAAGCTTCAAATAATCTATAGCATGTGACATCTGAAATGCTGGCTGTGCAAGTTAATTAATCTAATTTTTTGCAAATCACTGCAAGTCAAGAAATTTTTACTGTTCTATAATCGAATAGCGGAAATCTTTGCTTGCGGAGGCGGTACGATTGGTGACAGATTTCGTGAAAAATCGGTTTTCTATTAGAGAAAATAAAACAATAATGATATTATTAATAGTCCTATCCAAGCGTAATGAGCAAGACACAAATAATCGTAATAATAACAGTGAGGTCAGTGAGACTTCGAAAAAGTTTTCATTTGAGGCAGCATTGACTGCTTTCAAAATATGACCGAAATATTAAAGATTAGCCTGACAATTCATTCGTACACAAAAAGACGTGGTTAACTTACAGCATTTACGACGTAATATATTGAATCAAAAATCTTATGCAAGAAATTTTAGATCGCTTTGTGACAAAGCTAGACTGAATATAACGAGTAACAAAATAAGCAAACATGTTGCTAACAATGGGATGCCCTTATATGTAGACGCGTATCACTTGCCTTCTATACCTTCATACCGGTTCCCCTTATATGGTCAAAAATTCCAGTGGATATATTCCGAATTGAAAGGAAATCGTTACTATAATTATAATTGGTAATCAACGCGCATAATATCGTCATATTGCACAATCGTTCGCACTCTGCAGTAAAAATAACACACAGTATTTCGGTCAATTATTATGCGAACACTAGAACTTGATCAGTAGTCAGACCCAAAGTTTGTCTCAGAAGATGTTAGTGTTTCTACTTTTATAAACCTGTCAGTGTTGCTGAATTGAGACTTATTTCTCCAAAGCAAAACATTCTACATTCTTTAGAACGTTTCTCTATTACTTTTGTTGTTTCACCAAACAAAGCCGGCAGAAAAGTCAAACAAAAGGGTTTGGTTTCAATAGTGTATTCAGACCCGTAACTTTGCAGACGCTTGACTTAATTAAAAAATTGCGTAATGATATTCTCACGAAATAATTTCTAGTGGATTACAACCATCCATTTCGGGCCAAAATAGCAATTTTAAAAACATAGCTAAACGGTTAGTTCAACGGCAATACTTTCACTAGACCTTACTTAACACCTATGTGAATCAATCAGTGTGAAACATAACCGACTTTTCTGTTCAACTTTTACGACGAAAGATGTCATATTGTGACGTTTCGTCTTACATTTTCCTGCTGTAATCGACGCCTTACAACGCGTGTAATATCCACACTATAATAATAAAGAGCAATCCTCAATTTATGCAATCCCAGTTCACAATCTATTATATCTATACGTGGGAATAAACAGTTTCACTGTGTACTTTTGTACAAATAATGTTTGGTAATGTATTAATTAATAGTATTTTCATTAATATTAACCAATTGGAATTGTCGATCAAACAACAAACACGTGATAAAGAATTTTTATCCAGAATTCGTTACTGATAATATGCCGCAACGTGTAGCATGTCCTCTCGTCACACTCTTTATCAACTAGGAAAATTCTTCTCTATCAGATTACGGCCGCATATCTCAAATGTAACGCGTCCAATTAATACTTATATGTGTATATCACGCACGCATCCCTCCTTCGAAAATTCCGTTCTGCATAGACCATATTCATCCAAGAAAGATAAGACGAGTAGCAAGAGACAGAAACATGACAGACCAATGGATGAAGAGGAGGACGACAGCCACCGCAAAAGTGGGAAAAAAAATTCTGCATCTAATGAACTCGATTTCAATGTGGAGGCATTGGAAGATAAAATGAAAGATATCGTTGAGAGACTAAAGAAGACCTACAGTACCATGAGAGCTGGAAGAGCGAGTCCTGGTGTAGTATACGTGTGAATTGTGAAGAAATATTGAGGATAGAGAATCGATCGTTAATTAGCAGATTACTTGGTTTATGCAGCTCTACTAGATTCGATCGTTGTGCCTCATTCGACTGGCAACACACCGCTCAAAGACCTTGCTCAGGTCATAGTCAAAGATCCACAAAATCTCATCGTAACCGTTCAAGACAACTCGGTAATTTTCACAACTATTTTTTCCCTCCAATAATCTTTATTCTACATCAACTAATCTTTGTCCATTCTTTCCAAGCTGCTTAAAGCAATTGACAAAGCCATAAGAACGTCAGAGCTTAATCTAAATCCTCTTGAAGACACGAAAGGCCTACGGATACCAATACCAAAGCACGTAACCCCTCTTTTCCTTACTTTCTCCCCCACCACCAATAGTTCGCATTCTCACCATTTTTACGCTAATTTTATCAAGGCTGACAACAGAATCTCGTGAGAAATTAGTCACTATCGCAAAGAAAAATGCAGAGAATGCACGACAGAAGATACGTCATGTTCGACAGGAAGGTCTCAAAGATTTAAAGAAAGACGTTCGCGATGGATTTCCCGTTGATGATGGGAACAAGCTCGCCAAGAAGGTGAGCCCTCACTTCAAATGTGATTAGGATTATAATCGCATGGATAGAATGTAAAGCTTTTTACTAACCCCATTTGTTGAATTGATAATAGTTTCAAGTAATAGTCGATAAATATACGAAAGATATCGATGATGTCTTGAAAGCAAAGACGAAAGAAATACAAAATAGTTGATTTGTTGTTTTTGACAGGTCATCATATGTTAATGTGTCCTTTCTTTGTACCCAATCATTTGTCAGATTTGCGTTAACCCAATTTGTCGTAACTTTCACAGCACACAACAGATCCGTGGCCCCCACCAGTACCGTCCAACAACAATGCATCCTTCCATCGATATATCCTCATTTTCACGTCGAAATTTGCACTTTAATGCAAAAATAAACTGTTTCCAGAATTTGATTGGTGGATTCTGTATTCTTAATCAATCCCTCATGTTCCATTGGTCAACAACTTGCATATTGAAGAAATTCGTTTAACCACAGGTGGAATTTTTAGGAAGAAAAAGGTTTCAGTGTTGAAGTATACAACAGGATTTCTCTTCTCTTTGCTACTTTTGTAGAGAATATTCATAATAATTTAAAAGTTCCGTCTATTGGTGCTACTTTCCATTCATTAGCGTAGAAGGAAATAGAATAATTTATATCTACTCAACAAACCCATCGCCTTTCCTTTCGTTAAAAAGCTCGGGTTTAATAATAATTTAATAAATTGCAAAACATTCTTTGAAATAATGTCTCCTGGTCCAGTCTCGACTAACGGCATCGGCATCGCCAATCTGCCGAACCAGCGTCATAAGATAGTCGCTAAGCGTGGAACAAACTTCACGCTTATGGTTGTTGGTACGTTAAGGTTATACGCGTTTGTCAATATACATAGTCGCTGAGAAATGCTAAACTTGAAGTGCTAGTCATCTTGTTGTCTATGTATTTGCAATTTAGTGTAGAGATGACTGATTGCTTGTTGTAACGTACTAATAGGCGAATCCGGTCTTGGAAAGACGACGTTTATCAATACACTTTTCACCACTACGATAAAAGAACATAAGAATCAAAAGAAACGTCATGCCAAGCAAACTGACAAGACGGTTGAAATTGAGATAACGAAAGCGGGTGAGTGTTGCGAGCCGCCATATGGAGGAATGGGATATACTGTTCTTTATCTGTTGGTTTTTGTAATGTTAAAACGTTTACCTAATAATGGGAACCAACGAATTATTTGACTTGTCTGTTTAAAATTTTCGCTGTCATTACGATCTACTGACGCTTTCTTTATTTAAACAACTGACAACATCTGAATAGAACTCGAGGAAAAGACGTTCAAAGTCAAACTTACCGTCATCGATACGCCTGGATTCGGCGACTACGTAAACAACCGCGATAGTTGGCTACCAATCATTGAATTTATCGATGACCAGCATGAATCATACATGCGGCAAGAACAGCAACCACACCGCGGCGAGAAATTGGATCTGAGAGTACATGCTTGTTTGTACTTTATTCGACCAACGGGACATACGTGAGTGCTCATCAAACAAACTTTTGAACAGACTTGTTATAGGCTAGTGAAAGTATTCCATAGCTTTTTCTTATGCTTTCGTCTTTTTTTTTTTTTTTGCAAATGTATGTAGCTTGAAACCGCTGGACATTGAAGTTATGAAGCGTTTGGGATCTCGGGTTAATCTTATCCCAGTAATTGCCAAGGCTGATACTCTCACACCAAATGACTTGGAGACTTTCAAGAGAAGGGTAAGCAAGCGCGAATATATGTACATGTATCTCACGTCTGTTCTGCAAGTATTAACCTTCATTATGTAAATTTCATCACTAGGTTCGTGAAGTTATTGCCGCTCAAAACATTCAGGTCTACCAATGCCCAATTGAAAGTGATGATGAATCCAGCACTAAACGCAACATGAACATCATGGTAAGCGATTCAAAGATTTGTAAACTGTTTGCGTCAGTAGCGAAGCTATTCGTTATTCTTATATTGTATGTACCTTCATACAGGCCGCAATGCCATTTGCTATCATTGGTAGTGAACAAGACGTCACTACGGCCGACGGCCGTAGTGTGAAGGGTCGTCAATATAGCTGGGGAGTAGCTGAGGTCGAAAATGAAGATCATTGTGACTTCCAGAAATTGCGCCAGCTATTGATCAGGTAATTATCGAAGACACTAATACAAGAAGTATGCTACGCACGTCCTTCCTTATACGACTAACGATGCCGCAACTCAAACAAACAGAACACACATGTTAGACTTGATTGCTACCACAGAAGAAACTCATTATGAGACTTATCGCCAGGCGCAAATGGAGACTAGGAAGTTTGGGGAACCCAAGTAAGTCAAGACTCGTAACTGCTTTGCAATGTTATAAATCGATCCACACCCATATCAACACATTTCTGTGGCATCTAGGCAAAAGAAACTTGATAACCCTAAATTCAAAGAAGAAGAAGAATCTCTCCGCAAGAGGTTCACTGAACAGGTTAAACTCGAAGAGAATCGTTTCCGTCAATGGGAACAGCATGTAAGTTAAGACTTTCTTGCAAGCTCGGTAGTTTCATATGCAAGTAGACATTCTAATCGATTTTTTTTTACATCGTCCTTGCGATTGTGCTATTACTCTTCCAACTATCGACAGCTTATCGCTGAGCGTGATCGTCTCAACAAAGATTTGGAATCTGAGCATTCACACATTAAGGAATTGGAAGCCGAGTTGGAGCGATTGCAAGCTAATATGCGCAGAAAATAGACAAAAAACCCAATATTATTTGCTTATTTCTATTATGTCTCGAGCTTTTCACATAGTGAGATAACAATATTCGTTTATCTTATCATAAATATCTGAGTCTTATTCTTTATTAAACATCTCGCGACTAGAGATCGCCTAATTAATCACTGCGACTATTTACGTTATTATTATTTTAAATGGAAGTTGTATTATATACTATTTGTATTCTGTGATTTTAATGATTTGTTTTTTATAACGAGAACTTGTAACGTTCTGTCAGGTTATTTTCATCAAGTCGGAATTCAAACATTTATAGAGAGAATTTATAACAGAACAAGCATATAAAGCATTTGCGATTCAATATTGTGCATGCGAGATGTAGCATCTGTGTTTGCTTAGTGAGTACTTGTGGAAATAAGTTCCCTTTGGCAAATAAAAAGCTGATGATGGACAATTCACAATAAATTACAATCACCTGCTGAAGAATCGCTTCAGGTAGAGAGATGTGCTTTATAGATAAATTTATCAGGAAATCGCTAGAAGGGAAATCCAGTTATGCTTGTTGTGTTTGACAAATTAAACCTCCCAATACTTTATCTGGCACACTATATTTCTCAAAACACCAACATTCATGAAAACGTTCTCTTGCTGAATAAAATGCATAACATTACATAGATTTTTATTGGTTCGTTGCGTACTTCGCGCCTTCTTATCGTGTACTCTCCTGCCAGTTTTATCCTGTGTGAATCTCTAACAAACTGTCGATTAGATAAATCCAATCTATGTAAAAAAAAAAAGACAGATCAGTTAGTACCGAGACTTCTGCCTTAATAAATCAAGCAAATACAGTAATTGTATTAACCTTGTTGGCAGCTTCCAGAGCTTCAACATCAGGACTGAGACGGACGTAAGCCTTCTTATTACCATCCGGTCTAAAACGAACATGGATAATCAGGTTAGAGAATATACATTTGACATGACATTAACACGCAACGGGGTGTCAATCTCCCGACTCCCAACATCTACTTATCGTTTTTTACCTGATCAATGTGTTAATCTTGACCGCTTCCACATTATAGAGCTTCTTAACGGCGTCTTTAATATGTCGCTTGTTCGCTCTCACATCCACGATAAAGACCAAAGTATTATTGTCCTCAATCTTTTTCATCGCACTCTCTGTACTCAGTGGATACTTCAATATCGTGTGTTTGTCCAATTTCGGCGCACGGAGAACGGACCTGCGCACATACTTGGGATCACGCAGCAATCGCAGAGTTTTGGGACGACGGAAAGTAGTAGAGGTATGGATTTTCCTCTCTTTCTTTCTAATGATCTCCTTTAATGCCGCACGTTTGGCACCGAGTGCTTTTGTTTTAGGTGATGATTTTTTAGTCTTTTTAGAGGCCGTTTTTGATGACTCGGCTGTCGCGCTCGTCGTGCCGGATTCGGCTTGTGTGGTGGCTCGCTTAGCGGCTGCACAATGTGATTAAATGGCAAAAGCTATTAATATTTAGCCCGTCGTGACAAGTCGACGAACATTCAAATACAACAATTGATAGATCATTGAAAACGAATGCATCCATCCTCTTGTCTGTCGTTTCGTCGGATTATTTATCTTCTTGGATAACTACAAATCACAACAGTGCAACATACCTGCTTTCCTAGGAGCCATCTGCTAGCAAAAAATTTCACCAGACGAAAAAGAGGATGTTCGTCTATGTCTCTCGCATCAATTTTAGCAACGTTTCCTCAAATTCATTGAGGCGTAGTAATACTAGACACACTCCTATTGGGCATTGGGAAATTTAACATTGCAGGGGCTGTGAACAATCGCGCTACAGGATTTCAGGAGACCCTGCATTCAACTATCGCCAAAAAAATGGAAGTCCGCGTTTGCACGAAAGAAGAAATGTATTCAACTTTTTGTACAATGGGAGATCGAGGTCAGAACAAGACTGGAAGGCTCTCAATACTGTTGTTTTCCTCAGAAGCATGTCATGCAGCACGTAAAGCACGTTCAGTTTGTTGCTCTAAAACTCCGGAACCGCTGTATAATCAACAAATCTATTATTATTATTATCAAGGTTTGGAATATCGGCTGTATTCAATCATTAGGAAAATATGTCGTGAAAACACAAACGTATCACACAGGAAACACGATAAATCGGACACGACGTGGACATCGCTCGGAAATAATCGGTGTTCTTGACACTTTATCATTGCGCTGGAAATACGGTGGGAGACTGATTTGTTGACGAAGCGTAGTCCCTGGTCTAACGACAATCAAATCATCGGTCGCAAAACGTGTACAAGGATTACACAAAGAGCAAACGTCCACGCTTCCAACAGTACTGTGGGTTATCCAAAAAGCTCCAGAAGGAAAACCCATTATAACCAATCGATTTCTCCAACGCATTCAGGTAATATGAGCTGATTAGTAATTCAAACTATTCTTAAGTTTATTATGTCTATTATATTGAACTGCAGGTTGACCTCATCGATAAGACATAAGCACAAGACGATGGATATCGTTATATAGTGCACATGAGGGACCATTTACTAAATTTAGCTGGGCAAAAGCAATTAACGAAAAACGACGGACAGTATAGCGGAGGTTTTATACGACATATTTCTAATGTTTGGGCCGTCAGTAATACTCCATTGTGACAACGGAAAAAAGTCCTCCAATATTACCAAAAACTTGGTAATTTGTGGCCTAAGTTAAGGGTCATTCATGGGCGACCACGTGTTACCCTCAGTCGCAGGGCATGATAGAACGGGCAAACGGCATTTTGGAGAGAAAAATTGCCCGATGGATGGAGACACACAAACAGACGAACTGGACGAGTGTCTTAGGTCAAATTGTATACACGATGAACTGTGAAATATGTCGCACCACTATGCTCAGTCCGTACGAACTAGTTTAATCTGGAGCTACAGTAAAGAGACAGATATTACTCGTCTTATTGATGTTATTCAAGAGTTTGGCGTTCCGTCATATAAATACCGTGTGTTGCTAGACGAATTATTTGAAAGCGGTGTAACGGATGATAATATTATGGACAACTATATTACTGATGATATCCACGAATATCTTACGACCCCGACAATATCAGACAACGCAGCAAATAGTGTGACTGAGACGGAAGGTGAAAATTCAGACACTTCTGCAGATGCAAATTTAATATCAGACACTGAAACAAATGATGCAACTGAGATGGAAGGTGTGTATTAAATACAGTCAGAAATTGCTTATTTATACAAACAAAATTCTAAACAATTTGTATAGATGTCAGGGAACTGATAGCAATTAACGTTTCAGACAGTACTAAGCCCCCAAAATAATCAACATTTGCTTTGAAATATCATGTCTTTGTCTCGAAGCTAGCCGTAATTGTCGCTTTTTCCACTTTCTAATATTATTCATTTAATAATTATTTATTGTTAATCTTCTAATAATTTTCTGGACTATCAGAAAATCTTATTGAAATGCCTAGAGAATGCAGATATACTCAGACTAAATTTCTCAAATGCATGCAGATGTCTATATTTTACCAATGCCAACATCAGAATAAAAGAACAACAACTCACTTCCTTGGAATCTTATGGAATCATTGTATATGTATATTATAAGTGATATATCAGCAAGCTACAGTATTAGTATTGTGGACCTATTCTTTCATTACTATTACCTTAGAAAGAACATTTATGATCTATTAATATTTTACCCAGATCATTGAAAGGCATGATATGATGAGAGAAAATTAAAGATATTAATATGCTACCAGTATACATATACAGTAAACATAAACAGTGATCAATTAAGTAATAGGGCCAGGAAAATTTAATCCATTAATTGTCCATTGCTTATTGAATAATCAGAATTTTTAGCAGAAGAAATTAATCAACCCATACTAATACAAAATAATAATAATAAATGGAAGTGATTTTCTAATGATCATATTAATGGGTGTAATTATAATACTAATACTAATTCTACATGCTATTACTATACAGTCAGCAAAAAAGGCTTGGCAAAAAAAAAGTGCAAAACATGTGAAGCCGTCCATGTTTGCAACTAGCGTAATAGATAGCTCTGTTGGAGTTGACATAGTATCAGTGATTACAGAACATTCGCTCACAAGAAAATCAATGTGAACTTGCTATCAGACCGCCTTGATCAGTAGTGCGGACGGTCTTTGATGAATCCCAGCAATATTCTCAATACCCGACAACAAGTACTTGCGTAGAAAACTTTTCTATGAAATCACTCTGACAGGACAGCTACAATATTTACATCATTCGCATACAAAATTTATTTATTTTTTTTTTTAAATTAAAAATACGCTGCTGTAAAGGCTGAATAATATGAACACGTAAATTTATTTCTAATTTATTTGGTATTTCAACTTGTCATTAACCATTACTCCAAATTCACTTCTGTAATTAGGTCCTGTAGTCAGCATTGATTGTAACATATTCATGACTAAAGTCACAAGTCCACATAACAGCCTCCTGCTTCCCAATACCCAAATCAACCAAAATCTCCAAATCTTCCATCTGTAAAATCTCACTTGCTCTGTCTTCATCTACATTTTCTGGTTCTCCACGGACAAGGAGTCGTAACGGAGCAGAACCATCAGTCGGAACGAAAGAAACAGAAACTTTTGTAGGTTCAACTGACTGGACACCAGCGTAGCCAGTAGCGCAAAGTATTCGGCCCCAATTTGCGTCTTGCCCATAAAGAGCTGTCTTTACTAGTGATGACGTAGAAATAGTTGAGGCTATCTGTTTTGCCTCTTCATATGTCGAAGCATTCTGGCGAAATCGAGTATTTTACACGGCATATGTTAGATATGATGGGTAATGCGTAACGGCGTTAGAATTTGAAACTTGTTTATACTCACCTTGACTCTTACAGTCACAAACTTGGTTGCACCTTCGCCATCTCTGACAACCAACTTTGCCAACTCGGCCGCAAATTCAGTTAAACTATCTCTAAAGTTAAGATACTCTTCTCCCCGCTCATCACGAATCTCGGTTCCTCCACTTGCTCCATTAGCGAATATAGCCAGCGTGTCGTTAGTGCTCATATCGCCGTCGATAGTGATAGAATTGAAAGACCTGTCAACGGCGTATTTTAACGCAGCCCTCAACGCGGTTGGAGATACAGCTGCATCGGTTGCTATGAATGAAAGCAAAGTAGCCATATTTGGATGTATCATTCCGGCACCTTTTGAAATTCCAGCCATACGATAAGTTGTGCCAGAGGGAAGAGTGAATTCACGCGAACGTAGCTTGGGAAACGTGTCAGTGGTCATAAATGCTTCTGCGGTAGATAACCAGGAAGAATGCTCATTGGAAAGGAGAGGGTAAGCAGTTTGAATGCCGTTGGTTATCTTGTCAATTTGCAAGTGTTGGCCGATAACACCCGTTGACATTACGATTGAAGTGTCTGGTTCGCCGATCAGAGACGACGTTGTGGATACCATTTTACGGGCGTTTTCCAAACCTTTCGTTCCGGTGACTGCGTTTGCACAACCCGAATTCATTGTTAACGCTCTTACGTTCTGACCGTTTTTCTTTTCGAGTATTTCTTTGCTGACTAGAACAGGTGCGGCCTTGAATATATTTGTAGTAAACACGGCAGCTGCATTACATACAGTGTCGGATACTATGAGACCAAGATCTCGTTTCCCATTTTTGCCTACTCCACTGTGAATGCCCACTACTTTAAATCCATGCGGATATATTCCTGATGTAGGTATTAATTTGTCTTTAGGAGCGACCTTGTTTTTTGTGGTCGAATATAGTCTAGAGGACGTTTGCGATGCCAATGTGAATTTTGGAGGACGGAAGGAACGGGTCGTGCGAAGAAACATTTGAATATTGGAGGAAGGCTCCTTAACGAACTAACGGGTAATAAGAACATGGTCATTTACTTTGTTATTTATTCGATTCAAACTTGCGCATCGCGTTAAAGAGATTAGATTTCAACGATCATCTTGTGCAACTCGCTCACCGATTATCGCTAATTTGACAGCCTAAACATTTCAACCGGGGAATATAATAATATCTGGTAATCGAGTATAAATTTAATAAGATATAAAGAAATCCCGCCAAGGACGCAGTAACTGTTGTGCTATGTAATAGTAACATTTGCTCGCATTAATTGTCGTGCCATTCGGAGTTATCGAAAGAGGGGAACTGGTTTATTTGAACTTAAAAGTGGAGAAATCAAGCCATGACATAATCAATACCTACGCTACGGACCAAAGGACATTTAATTGAAGGAGGGTAGATTTATTGATATTGATCGATTGGTAGAGTTTTCTTAGCCCTGTCTGTAATTACCGTACCAATAGCTGTCGGACGTTGCGAGATCATGATTATTTACTGTTATTAAGATTATTTCGAATTACAGAATAATACTCGTAATATCAAATTAATAAAATTAATGTTTACGTTACGGTGTGACACAAAAGTTGAACACCACTCAAATACGTCTTCATGTGCATCATAAGCATACGTAGTTCATGTAGCTCTTGGTTTTTAAGCGCAAGTCAAAGACATGTAGGCATGAAGACTTAAATATACAAATAACATTTTCATGTTACGCAGCAGTTGTTCTCGTATGAATACCTGGTCAATGCCTACATACGCGGGAGAGATGGGTTTTAGTATTTGCGTAAGAGAGTTCTCCTTTTGCGATGATAACATCTATTTTTGGAGAACGAAAATAAATTCTAAAGTGATGTGTGGTTGTATACACTGTGTATAGTCTTTACGACAAAGTATTAAAATCTACGCTTATATATTTATAAATCTAGAGATATAAAAGGCATACTGAACCTAGACAGTAAAGTGGTAAACTGCGTTTTATTAAATCTGTGAAATACGTACATGGTAAAATACGGCTTGCCAGATTTAATATTAGATCACATAAAGCCTACACCATTCTCATTGGAATCTATAATATGTTTCAGTAGTGCACAAAAAACGGGCTTTCTGCATCGTAGGTTAACAGATAATTATTACATATGCACGGCGTGCATACTTGGTGTGTACTATGCATATAAATCTATGCACATTCAACCGTAGGTATGTAGGTCATGTTTATGCATGCAGCAAATACTTCTTGTCAGTACAAGAATAAACAAGTTTTTTGATCTAATTAAACATTCTTTGATATCCAAGAAGTAAAATTAGTGACATTGTACAATTATTTGAAATAATCGTATATGTCATTGCAATTGGGACAAGTATTGGAGAATATCTGTGAATGTATTCATCACTAGCAAGCGATCCTCGAGGGAGAAAATCGGTATACAGACAATTGTAGGGAAAATAATCTAAAGTTTCTATTTCTTCTCCTTAGAACAAAACATCCACCATCAAGCTAACATTGTGACCCAATTTTTTCCACTATCTTACACAAATACGGTTTTACCTAAAAGTTTTTTTATTTTATTTTTTCGATTAAGCTTTAGCAAACTTGTTCGTAAACTTTGACGAGTGACTTTCTTGTAACCTATTAATGCTAATAAATTCATACTTTTAACCTACAATGCACTACTAATTCATACCTAAATTCGTAAAGTATTCATAACTAATTCTCAATTGGCCACCGCATGACATTACAAATTGACACTGCACCAATTGACAAACCTTGTCTAATTACAATGGTATGCAGTCATGTAATAAACAAAAATCTAATTCTTTATCAAAATGTCGATAACGATATTAGAAATTTGAAGGAACAATAAAGTTTTTTCTTTTACATGTTCTTTCTTTCCTTCTATAAACTATTACTATTGTTTAAGAAGACTTAACATGGAAGTGTAATATGTTTATACATAATAATACTTTTGTATCTGTTTCATAAAATAAAATTTGATTACTGAAACAACGACAACAAAATAATAATGGATACAGCAAAAGTTTGATTAAACGATACAGAGAAGCTTTCTCTCGAAAACCCAGTTAACGTAAAACGTAAACCTGATGTTTGTTACTATATAAAGAATTAATTTACTGCTATCAAACGCCCATATAACTTTATCCGTCTTTCTCACACTATTTAAATGTGCTTTGACAAACAATTCTGTGTACAGCATGTTCTTACTATCATCAATGAGGGAAACGTAAGTTAGAGTTAGTTATCAGCGTTCATCAACATTAATGTTTCATCCAAGTCACGCCAATCTGAATGATTCCTGATGAAATGGCGTGACCACTTTGCACATGCATCATGGTATAAAGTTCATAGAATTCTGCAATATGCACGATTGTGTCTCGAGTTATCTCAATGCAGAATAGGAAGCTTCTCGCAATTCCTGCATGGTTACGCTAATATCAATGGTTGCTTTGAAATATTACCATTATGAGGCATTGTAAGAAAAATGTATCGCATTGTGTTTGTTGATTACATTGAATCTTCCCATGTCTATTACCATCGTCATCCTCCTCAACTCTACACCTCCTCACCTTTGTTTCTTTGCCGAACTCTTCATCTGTTGTTCTTTACTGCGAGTTCCTACTCCTGGTAGTTGTCCACGTGCAAAAAATCCAGTCTATGCACGAGTATTTTATGCACGAGGTATTCTGATAGAATTATGGTTATTGGTACTATTGTATGAGATGTAGTCGAGAATAACTCTGAGGAGTGATGTGTTAGAACGCAGACATGGATTTTCTTTTTCGATTATATATAAACCCCCGGCCAGCCCTTAGAAACGATACTGTAGTCGTCAGAGACGGTCTATATTTTACGAAAGATATCAAGCTGTTTACGCTTTTACTTTCATTTCTTTAATTTGTCCAATTGCTCCGATTGCATTTCCTATTATCTCCTCTCTCCCCATTTATACACTATCGATACTCTTTCACAATGTCACTTGCTAAATTGTTCATCGTTTTCGCCGTCATGATCACCGCTGTATACTCGCTACCGCTGTTCAATAGGCAATTTAATGGCCAAGGGACATTTTACAATGTTGGGTTGGGTGCGTGCGGCCAGACCAATTCTGACGACGAATATGTTGCTGCTCTCGTAAGTTTGTTTTTGTCGAAAGCTGAGAATATACCGATAATAGATACTAAAATATTACGTCAAATATAGAATGTAGCACAGTGGGGCAGCCCGCCAAATCCAAACAAAGCGCCTTTTTGCGGTAAAAAAGCCACCATTAGTGGTCCTTCAGGCACAGTCACAGTTACAATAGTAGACCTCGTAGGTTTCGTCAACTCGTATTCATTTGTGGTATTATTATCGAATTTTGTCTTGACACTCTGTTTCTTTTTCACTCAAGTGCAAAAGTTGTAAAAACGGTGATATGGATCTAAGTCCAGCGGCATTTAGTAAGATAGCCGACCTGAGCGAAGGCAGAGTTCAGATTAAATGGAACTGGAACTTTGATTCATCTACAGGCGACGGTAACAACGGTAACAACGGTGACAAGGGTAATAGCGGCAATAACGATAATAACGTGATTATTAATAATAATAACAGCAACAATACCATCATCAACAACGTCAACGACGTCATCGACAGCACTAACATCGAAAACAATACGAATCCTCCGCAGTAATTTTACTCACATTCTAAAAGCCCTGTATCTACAAATCAATCAGCTGTATAATGACTTTTGTTGGAATTCAATGTCCCGGGTGGATAAAAAGATAAACAAAATCATGCAACTTTGTTCGTTCGATATATATTTCCCCAAACGTCATGTTCCGTAAATAAAAAAGTATTACTTGTTTTCGTAACTCAATATTTTTAATAGCTGGCTCTTGCGTGTTTACCAAGTATACCACAACATACTAGTTACCCAACCTCATTACCTTATACAACGGTCTTGTTATCCGGCCTCTGTTTTCTTATTTGTGAAAGGATGTTCACCGCATGCTTTGTACCGATTCTCATCTAAACCAATTATAAATAGTCTAACCTAGCACTGTATGGCGCGTGGATTAAATATAAAAGGCACACAAGCCTTTTTTTTCATTTGTTCTGTTGGCCATTATTACTGTTCATCATTTTGTCGGGAGACGAAAATTCATTCCTTAATTTCGTTTTCCTCAAAATAGTGCGTCTCAAAAAGATCGCATCATACAATACATTCATTACCTAATATCCCTTCCTCGACATCCCCCCAACATACACTACTATCCGCTTGTTTGAAAGCCATTATCTCTAGACGAGAGCCAGCTATCAAACATATCAATTAATTCCTTACACATCATATCATCAACATTTACTTTCCCCCCCTCTTCCTCAGCGAAATATGTATTCCAAGCTCCTCTTATTTTGTATTGCCATAACTCTTCTTTTTAGTGGAAGTGCATCGGTTCCACTCCAGAAGCGATTAGCTGGCGCGGCCACATTTTATGCTGTTGGTCTTGGTGCTTGTGGACAAACCAATACTCCAGATCAGTTAATTGCTGCAGCGGTAAGCGAAATGAAAAAGATAGAACATTTGTTGCTGTTAAATTGATTGAATAGTTAAAGACGAATTGGATTGTGCAACTTTCTTTGTTGATTGAAATGTTTGCGTGCAACCACCAAAGAACGAATCATCGTCGAGTGCCAAGCAAATGCTGGACGAAACATGAGCCAAGAATGATTTTGGCATATGTTCACTAATATTCCTTGATGGACTATATGTAGGGTGCGGGCCGTTTTGATAGCACGCCGGGCATTTGCGGTCTAACAGCGACCATAACCGGGCCAAAGGGTACAGTTACAGTTACCATTCTTGACAGGGTATTTAATAATTTTGCCGTATTCTTGATTGTTGCATTCAAATCATAGCGTTAGCTGACATCCCCCTTTTTACAAAGTGTGTGGCTTGTGGGGACAATGATTTGGATCTATCAACAAGCGCATTTAATACCATAGCAGACCCTTCTCAGGGCCGTGTACCCATCGTATGGACATTAGGTGGTGGCGGCGGCGGCGGCAATGGTGGTGGCAATGGTGGTGGCAATGGTGGTGGCAATGGCGGTGGCAATGGTGGTGGCAATGGTGGTGGCAATGGTGGTGGCAATGGTGGTGGCGGCAATAATGCTGCACCACCGAAAGCAGCACCGCCAGCACCGGCCCCAACAACGTCGACGACAACAACGTCAACTACGGCAACATCAACTTCGACAACATCAACATCAACGACAACGCCGACCCCAACAGATAATACTCAACCAGCGAATAATGTTGCAGCTGCATTCTTTATGGGCTCGATCTTTAGCAATTTAGCGAACGCTAATACGCCAGCGAACAGTACGACTACAAATACTGCACAATCTGGACCATGATACTGAGATTTCTCTTCCCTGCAGTCGCAACATTTCCAACCTACATAGACTACGTTAGATCTGAACACTAATTATAGACACATAAAAGTATAATATCACAAATTTGGAATGTTTGGCTTGTGCTTTTCCTGTCTCAGTAGTTCTTATTCTTTGTTGTAATAATGTATAATATCTACAGCTGCGTTTGATTTGACAATTGTTATAGGTGTCGTCCCATTGCTATAGCATATACTCAATGTTCTGTCCAACGAGAGTATTTCTAAATCTGTAGCCGATTCTCTGTGTGAAGGAATTAAACAAAGTGTCAATTCTTTCTCGTGAGAATGCTCGCATTATTCGTTCATCCGAAAATAAACCTGAAACTCGTTGTCATCTAATGTAATAAAGTCAAAGTGTGGGAACACACGTTGTTTTTATCCAATCCCTGATCATGTTGATGGTGTTCCATTATTCCTATTCGAGAAAACAAGTTTTGATGTTTCGGTTTGTCTTTTTGAAATTTTGTCCGGAATAGGATCTAATAAAAATGCCTTGCGCATGCAGCTAGCGTTTTGAAACGTGAACGTTTGATATCGGTCACTATATATAACAGCTTGGATTCACAGGAGCAAGCAAAAGAACTGTGCATACTACCAATAGTCTTTACTTTATAATCTTTAACAAATCAAATATAAATGTCAACTCCAGCCTCAAAACCCCGTCGCCGGAATTCTTTTATCGGCCAATGGGATAATACAACAAATGTAGTCAACATAAAATCAAGATATTACAGCACTACTACCGCAGATCGCTATACAAGCTCTCAAAAAGCAACATTTACCAGATGGTTAAATATCCAATTGCGCGCTCTTCCACTCGATATATCAAACTTTCCAGAGATAAAGGCTATCGACATGGATTTTCGGGATGGTAAACTGTTGATCAAACTACTCCAAGTTCTATACCCCGAAGATACCGACTTGCCCAAGGCTGAACGCGGAAATACGAGACACCATCATATTGCGAATGTTAATAAAGTATTAACGTATGTGCGAGACAAGCTTGATGCCTCGAGTTTAGCAGCTTTGGATGCTATCGGTCCAGTTGATATCGTGGATGGGAACGTAAAGTTGACCATGGGTTTAATCTGGTTGGTGATCTCAAAGTTCCATCATCTGTCTTCGGTTTTTGAAGTTGACCAAGTTGTTATCGAAGAAGCAGTTAATGAGCATGACAGAGAAGAGAGTGAGGTGTGGTATTCGAGCGGAGAGAGTGAAGTGGAAAGAAGTATTAGTGATATAGTCGAAGAGGAAGAAAGTGTAGAGGTGAGTAAAGTGAGTACGGGTGTAAACGAGGAGGAACAAGACGTATCTATGGTAAACAAACAATCGAGAGCAAGCAAATATGATACGGATTTGAGTTTAGAAGAACCGGGGGAAAATGAAGAGACCAAAGTGATAGATAAAGACGAAAACACCGAAACGCAGACTCAGGGCGTTAGCGGAAATCTTGAAACCCCACCGGAATCGACTGGAAAGGGGGTCGAGAAAATCACGTCAATTATCGACGAGGAATCAAGCTCTGCACATAAAGTACGTCAAATTGTAACCGAACCCGAAGATTATAGTTCTTCATGGGGCTCATCCACGCTGCACTTACCACTCAACAGATCCCGACGTCCCCTTCCCCCTCAATACGTTTCGAAACGAATGTCGATGCCGGCAAGCGCTTTCGAAACGTTAAACCAGAAACCAACTCGCACAGCATCCGGCCGTTTTCGCACACTTCATGTACGTTCCAATTCGACGCCAATACACTCATCCTCAGGGCTTTTATTCTGGCTCAACGTCCAGCTTATTGATCTCGAAGCCCAGCTTCCCGGAAATTTGTATCCTGTAAAGAATTTTGAAAGCTTGAATGATGGAATATTATTGACCGCGCTCGTGCATCACTTGAATAAATTTTGGTTAGATGACTTTGAGTCTTTGATTAAGGATGAGGGAGGAGATGAGGATGGAGAGGAAAGTAAAAAGAGAAAAATAAAAAAGAGATTGAGCGAGTGTTTTATCATATTGGAACAAAAATTGAGTGTAAAGCAACCGACAAAGCTGATCGAATTGCTTGTTAAGAGTGATGAAAATGCGGATAAATCGGGCATTGAATGGAGTATGTATATTTCAGAGATGTTTATGGTTGTTACCAGGCGTCAGAAGATTATGAAAGAACGAAGAGCCACGCTTTTGGCTCAGCAACAGCTGCAGGAACAGCAGCAGCAGCAAGAGGCAGTTGTTGAACCTGGTGAAACAACACATATCGAGGCTTCAGGCCAGACTGTTTCAAAAGTTTTGATACCGGATTCCAATGTTGAAACACAGCGTTCCGGATATCCATCTCTGCCAGTCTCAAATGTCGACAAACCGCTTCCCCCGCCACCAATCTCTTACGCGCCTACGACCAACATGCAACCTCGTCCACCCGAATATCACCATTCCTCTCAACCTCTTATGCAAGCTTCCAAACTTGCATATGCTACGCGCGAGGTTCCTTCTCGATCGATACCAAATTTTGACAAACCGACAACCTCGTCTCCACGTTCTCATCCTCGACGTCGATCATCATCGCCTCAACCAGCTTGGGCATCCTCTTCTTCATCAATAGTCGCGGCCATCTGGGAGTGGACATCCAATTGGCTTGCAAACGAATTCGAAGACCAGGAGATGTACGATTTCGACGATATAGATGAATACGATAGATCCGGGGCACGTGAACTGGATTTTGAGGATATCGCACGTCGTGAGTATGATGAAGACATTCCGTTGCAGCTGTTGTTGACTAACATTGATCATTCGTCGATCTATTGGACACGTCGGGCTTGAGGATGGGTTGGGCTTGCTATGTTAGCATGTATGGAATTCTGTATAAATAGTAATTAGGGCTTTCAGAGTTGGCGCGGTGTTGTATAGAGCTTAGAGGATATTATTTTGAAGGAATGGAACAGTTAAATTAATGTTTATTATGTAATAAAGTCTTGTGTCAAAATTATTTGAACAAAAAACAAAACAAATAAGAGAACATGGTAATAATACACAATACACGTTCGATTCAACTTGGAAGACTTTTTGTGCGGGATTATTAATTTTGTAGTATAGAAAGCTCTTGAATTCGCTAAGCCCTTTTTTATAAATTTTTGAAAATGTATCATAAATCGATAACAACAAGCTGGATATGAAGTTATTTTATTATTTCAGATTCCAAATATAAACAAGTATTCTGGAAACAGACGGTTTAATGTTGTTGACAATGTCGTCATGCTAGCAATCAGAAATAGAAGAACTAAGCGCTTTTTCCATTCACTTTTTTGTGCATACATCACGACAATTCACGTGTGTTACCAAAGGAAGAAGCGAAACTAGACTGGAAGCCCTTCAGCAAGGTCTTTATTGGTCGCGCAACCTATTGCCATCAATGAAAGATCATTCTATATAGTAACATCCAATTGACAAAAAGATTGTTTTTTGAGTGAGTATGAGTTCGCAAGCATAATAGTTATGCAACAGCTGTAGTTAGGTAAACGAACGTGAAAGCTTACCAAGTACATGTGTTACCGTGATGAAAGTGTTTCAATAAAGGGAGCGGCAATGGCAATAACACCCTCCGGTCTGAGTTCCCATCTTAAAATGGGCTGGCCCGTTTTGGGATGCCTAGAATGGGCCAATTCCCTAACATTATTATTATGGTATTCAATTATTATTACCACTCTTACTTTTCACATATTCTCGAAAGCACAGAAAAATATCATATGCAAAAATCGTAAACAAAGGCGGAATGTGGAAAAATAACAAAATCAATATATCTGAGAATGATCATGATGCTGTACATTTATAATTCACATAACAAAATATTAACATAAGCACCACCATGCAAAACTTTATTATAATATTTATTTACACTTCTAATATTAATATGAATTAATGCATTTAAAATTTCTCGAGATTTTTGTTTTAGATTTCATAGTAATAGTAATAGGATACATACATTAATATATAATAAACCATCAAGTAAACTCCTATTAATTTTTTCATTTCTTAGCTTTCGTTTCTTAGTTTTAGGAGATATTACATGCTCTTTGACTCTTGATGACACCAATATGTTATCTACAGAGTGTTTCTTCTTCTTGGAAGCTTCCTCCATCAAAGTGAAGGTTTTTATGGTTTGCTTGAAAATATTCTGCACAAAAATAACAAAATTAAAAAAGATAAACGAAATGTTAAAAGGAATTTCCCAGCTTACCTTAACATTCAACATTGTCCGTGCTATTGTTACAATCTTTCTCATTTCATCGAATTGAGTGGGTACATCAAATTCTGCTAGCATGATGGATCCATGGTATTTACCACCAATGTATACATTTAACAAAACCCGAATAAAAAATCGGGATGAGATAAATTATTATATGAATAAACAAATAATATAATAGAATAATAAATAAATACAGAGTCACATCAAATATGACTTTAATTAACAATATCAGAGATCACATACTAATACCTCAGAAATAAACATCTCTGGCATTTCATTAAAATTCTTAAAACGTTTTAGTACGATAGTTTCTGACATGTCCTCTTCCTCCAAATACTTTTTGTATTTGGCAGCATAGACCGTCCCATAACCACCAATCCCAATCTGTTTAATTTCATAAAAACCAGCATATTGCATATACCGCACATATTTGTAATTCTGCATATATTTGTCCAACAACTGATGTATTTCATGGTAGAAAACTAAATAATATTCCCGAGTAGATGGCTCTTGAGCGATTCCGATTATCCAAACATTGTCAGGGGTTAATATCGTCGGATATTTCTGAGTTAACTATTTGAGTAAACGATACAATCATTACAACAATCGATCAACACATACACATACTGACCAAAAGTATTGGTCACACGATGATGATCGAATAAAATTTGCCAAGTCGCATTATTTCAAACGTAATTTATTCCACGAAAATCCAACCAAATTCCTAAACCTTTTTTTTGTTTG